TTAGTTGACTATCGGTCAACTAGACGGTTTCCATCCAAATGGTCTTTCGGCTCATATTTATCAAAGGTTTGGGACTGTGTCTGGCACAAATCAAAGGTTGGGGTAAAATGCGCAAAAAATTGAAAGGTTTGGGACCGTAGCTGCAATTATCCCTATTATCTTAATTTTGTAGTAAATGTTGATGATCATAACCAGCTGCGACCCATGTTCTTCGACCAATACATTACCAGACGGCTGAACACAATATTGATTTTCATGATACTTACCAATATAAAAAATTCACCTAATCTACTGTTTTTATTTTAATATTCAAGTTGTACAGCTCATCTAATCATGGTTTAATTCTTGAAATATTTAATTAGGACAAGTTGTATAAAATTCAAGAAGATTGTCAACTAAATTTTTTTTTTCCTTCCAACTACAAGACAAAGTAGAAGATCAATATTCATTAATTAACAAATTTGACTATTAGAGGTATTTCTCTTCTTCCTCGCAGGAAATTGATGCCGGAAACTGCCGTGTCCCGCGACTTGCCACTTCTCCACAACCGTATCATCAAACTCCATCTGTTGCACTTGCACCCCAGAAGCATCAAACAAGCAACTTTCAAGTAATAAACCCCGGCACGGTGGCTTTGTTTTCCGGCGACCTGCGCCGACGGGAACATTCCGGAGAGCCCCTCCGGCCGTCCAGTACCTCTGACAGCCTTTACAAAAGTGTCTTGGCTGATTAACATTGTAGTTGTTGAAGTAACAAAATTTTGTTTCCATGCTATTGCATCTAGGGCATGGGATGATCTTGTCTGGCCTTTTCTCTACCTTTTGATCTACTTTCTTTGCATGATCATCATCTTTCCCTTGCTGGTCGTTTTCCTGCACTGCAATCGTTGCACCAAATAACTTGATCCCTGATGAACCGTCTTGGACCTCAGCCATATTATGAGAGAGATCTAGAGAGAGAATTTTGGAGTGAGAGAGAATGTTTATTTTTGACGAAGAAGCCTTAAGTGGTTGTTATCTATATATATGAGTGTCTATATCTGTATATATATATATAAAGGGTGAATATATGCCCTAAAAAAGCTAAAAAGTACATTGTTGGGGGTGGGACGGGAATAAGACTCTGCCTTGTTTGAACCCGGAAAAAAATGTATTTTAAAATAGGTTTTTTTTTTTTTTTTGAA